TGAAGTCAAGGAAAAGCACTGAGGCCACTCAGATTCTATTCAGTGTGACGCTTTATCGCGAGATGCGATGTGCTGAGGATCCTGCAGAGTAAATCCATGTGGAAGAGTAAAACACCGCAGATACAAACAAGACACTTCCTTTCAGACTTGCACGAAATAATTATGCATGACATATCTGTGACAGCAGACTGACAAAGGCTTGAATACGTGGGTTTTCAGTGGCTTGCTTACCTAATAAATGTCATGCAATAAAACCGTTTAGATTCTATTTATAATTTCCCATGCTTAATCATAATTCTTCAAAGAAAGAAAGAAACAAGGTGCAGAAACTCCAGTGCCTTTATTTGAGGTCTTTTTAATGTGCAGCGGCAGCAACACCTTTCAAACACCACAACAACATCACATCACCATTTGTCACCTCCCCATCCGACCTCACCACTGTACCTTTTGGAAGTCAACGAATCTTGATTTGTTTGTGTCCAGCAGGAATCTCCTTCTGTTGGCACAGACTGGGTTTCTGCAGATGTTTGGCTGCGTGTACTTAAATTGCTGTTCCACATCCTTAATCACTGTCTGGCAGTCTAGGCACAGGAAGGTGCCACTGACCAGCTCTGGATGAACTGGGTGGGTACGTACCACCTGCCCACTGATACGCATCAGCGAGCCAATTTTGGCAGACGTCAGCTCTCGAATCCTGCGTAGAACAGAAATTAATTCCAGATTAAATTCCTAGTCCAGCTGACACTTCATGCCCAGAGTACTCAAGTAGTAGCAGTATGCTTTCATTCCATTTGTAACAGAAGAACAATTGTAACAAGCAAAAGAAACAAGGTTAAGAAAAACAACTTCCCATTTTGTCATTTTACATACTTTTAGACTAACATAAATTACATCATCGGCACTTCAAAAGCAACACATTATACCAGATTGTAAAATACAAAAGTTAAATTAGTTTGTCAGCATCTGCAGTCACTTCCAGTCCAGTATTTGTATGATTCACAAATGAAAAACTGTTTCATAAAATCATGCAACTTCTTCACAATTGTACAGGTTAAGTGCACTTCTATAATGTATAACGAGAACATTTTCAATACCCTTTGACATCTTTTTCCAGTAGTGAGAATATTCTAGTTTCTAAGATTAATAATTATCTTACTTGTGTCTGGTAGGCAGATCCTGAAATGCAACATAGAAGTCCTTGCTTGCAGGAACACTTCCATGGTCTCTAGCAAAAGTCCTTACTGCTCGGCAAAGATAAGGATAAACCCTGAAATGAAGGAAATAAGTTTAATTTCTACATGAGATATCAAAATGTCTTTTTCACTTTAGACTACGTCACAGGCTTGTATCATATATTTGCAGGCTCTAGCTTTAAAATATTTTCACAGTGAGAAGCTCTAGAGCTTATCCTGCATTCTCATTCTGCCCACCTATTTCTTTATCAGAGTAAATGAAATTGCCTTGTTCACTCGTCGCTTTCAGAAAGGCTGAATTAGTAACTGTCAATTAGTTAAGAAATAATTTTTGAATCAGTAAAAATAGTTTCCTAAATGTGAGGTTTTTCAGGATACCGAAAGCAGATGAACCGCAGGTGAGACCTTATGGGCCTGCAACTGCTGCACTGGTCAGATTTCAGGCAATCCATACACTTTACCTGTAAAATTCCTCCTGAACAGTGGTAGAGAGCTGCTGATTGAACTGCTCCAAATCCACAAAGCTCACAGTGAGGGTGTTCCGCTCCGGCCGGATCAGCTCTTCAGCATCACGCAGGTATTTGACCTCCCCATCACTGTTCTGGAATCTGAAAGCAAGCCAAGGAAATGAGTGACAGTTATACATCAGATAGAAACCAAATACTTCTGGATTCAAGAGGGAAGAATTATATGTGCAAGAAATCAATGGCACCCCCATTGCCTCAAAGTCTCTTCCAGCAATGTTCTCTCCCAAGCAACAAGCCATAGGACAAAAGGAAACAGCCTCACATTGCAGCAGGTCTTTAGGTTGGATTGTAAGGAATCGTTTTCATTTTAAGGGCTGCGAAGCATTGAAACAGACTGCCCAGGAAGCAGTTGAGTCACGATTCCCGGAGGTATTTAAGGACACAGACATAGTGCTTAAGGACATGCATTAGCTGCAGACTTGGCAGCGAAAGGTTAACGGTTGGAATTCATGATCTCAGGGGCCTTTTCCAACGCCAATGGCTTTCCCTCTGCCCCCCATGACCACGCCGGCACACACGCAGGCCAGGCTGCACAGCTGCTCTGCCACACGGACTGCGTTCATCGTCCAACCAGGACCCTGTCTGCCTAGTTCTGCTCCCTCAGCACCCCTCAAGGGCGGCCTCCACGTTTCCACAACGAGGCTCGGGGGGACCTCGCGACGTTACCACAGAGCACCTCACAGCCGGGCCCAAGCTTTTCTGACGGGAACGAGGGGCAGGGCCGCAGACCCGCCGGGACGGACCCTCCCCCCTACACACGCCCCGGCCGCACTCACTCCTCGAGGAAGTCCTGGAACAGCTTCTGGCACTTCTCGGCCACCTCATCGCGCAGTTGCTGATGCTGCTGCGCCGCACCCGCGCCGCCAACCGCCACGGCCAGATCCATCGCTCCCGCTGCCGCCCCGCTCCCGGCCCTCGCCCCGCCCACCACCCTTCGCGCCGCAGCCGCGCCGGCCAATGGGTGGCCGCCGTCCCGCAGAGCCCCGCCCCTCGCCCCGCTCTTCCTCTTCCCTCTCGGGCGTTTTCGCGCCAAAATCGAGTGTCGCCTCAGGGCCGTGGGCGGGGCTCGTGCCACGCCGTACGCGCACGCGCCTGGCGCCTCGCCTTCATGGCCGCCGGGCGCGCGCCGTCGGCAAAGCTTTGAGCGCCGCAGCCCGTGGGGATCGAGCGCGCCCCGTAACCGCGCGTTGAGTCATCCCAGAGCCCGCGAGGCTTGCCCCCATGGCGGCACTGGGACCCGGGGCTCCGAGCTCTGTCAGGAAATGGCTGCTCTGCTCTGATTACACGCACGGCACGTGCGCTGAGTGTAACGCGGTGTGAGCCAGTCCAAGGGCGGGCGCTTGTGCGCTCGGCTGCAGGCTGCCGTGAGGCGGCATTTGCCGAGCGACGGCACCGTGCGGTGACAGCTGCTGGCGAGCGATGCGCTGCCAGGAATAGCTCTGAGGGCTGCGAACAACTGCTCGGAATCGCAGTGCCACCTGCAAAGACATCCTGCTCTGCCCGAGCGGGAAACGCTCCTGCAATTAAGGCAGCTAAGGGCTGATTTTTTTTTTCAGTTCTGAAAGACTTCTCAGAGACTCTAAAAATAAAAATCTAGCAGTGCAAGCTTCCTGCAAGTGTATGTTATGGAGCTCTTACTGTGCAGCACGCAGTCTTATTTGCAGAATGGTAAAAGCAACTCATTGTAACATTTTCTTTTAAAGGATTTGCAGTGAATATTGGAAATGAAGTGTCTTTGCACTGCACTCTCACTGCTTAGACTGAAATAGAGATAAACCCAAGCCGGTGTTTGTTTCATTCCACAGGTACAACGTGCTTGGTCATCATCGGGTGGCCCTCAGCATGTGCAGTGCTGTCAAAAGAGTAATTAAAGTGATTAAAAAGTACTTCTCCAAAAACATCCCTACTGCTTCTAAAAGCATGTAACAAAGTTCAGCTCACCATTCAGAGGTGGACGGCAGCCGGTGCCAATCCTGCCCCAGTTGCAAAAAACAGGGTGAGGAGAAGCTACGTATCCTGGCACCAGCACTAACAGGGCAGCTCTTGGCTGAAGCCAGCTGGTGTGCTCCCAGCCCATCTGCTCTCTTCTAGTTCTTCCTCTTTGAAAAGGCAGCCTCTTTGGAAACCACCCGTGACAGAAGGAGTCTGAAAGACTCCTCAGGTTTTATCTGGAAACACAGGCTCAGTATCTTCCCTGGGAAAGATCCTGTGGGGGAAGCCTATCAGTTTCCTTATATCTTCCTTTTGTTATCAGGAAAGCCTGGAGGGGCAGAGATGAGATGGTGAAGTTACTGGCACAATCAGTGTGTGAAAAAAACATTTTGCCCTCTACATAAAGGAATAGCTGATTAATCTTAAGCACTTACTACGCGAATTCAAATCAAAGAACAAGCTTTCAAGCTTCAGAAGATGTCTGCAATATCAGTGCTTGGCTTTTTTTTCCCAAACAACTTGAAAGCAACTACAAAGTTTTGATTGTAGTGAAAACATGCACGATTCTGACTGAAGATTTAAGTACTCATAGACTAAGGGAATTGTATCTGTGTATGTATCTAAGGACACGAAGTGAGACAGTTATTAATTCCGGATGTACTGGAGAGCGTGGGACCCCAGCATGATGGATATGAATGATATGGAATAACATGTGGAGATTGATCATACTGGATGGAATGGGATGGAATTAATTTTCTTCCAAGCAGGTGACATGGTGCTATGCTATATACATTTGTGACCAAACAATGGAGGCTGAGCAAGACGTTAGGAGCAGACACAAACAGGCAGCTGACCTAAACCAACCATGTAACATCATAAGCAGCAATAAAAAGGGAGAGGAAGGGGTTAGGGATTTGCCATATTTTTCTGAGGAACTGGCTGGGCACTGATCTGCGTCTGGAAGATGGTGAGCAATTACCTTTGCATCCATTGCTTGTTCTCTCTCCTTATACTTCTTCACTTAGCAAACAATTCTGCAACACAAAGTTTTTTTGCTTTATTCCTTTCCTCAGCCCCATCCCTCCAGGGGCATGGTGCTTAGCTCCCTCCTGGGGGGAGCCCACAACAGCAGCACTCAGCCACTGGGCATCAGTCCTGTGCTTTGCTTCCACAAAACTGCCAGTCGTCTTTCCTGCTGGGCAGATGCAGACAGCTCACTGAACACAGATGGGTTTTCACAAGGAAGTATTTCAGTTAAACTGCAGAAATAAACTGAGGCTTTGCTGTTAGCTGTTAACAAATGACTCCCTAGCTATCCCTTATTAATAACTTTTTAAATCAGTTTAATACTTAAAAATGTGCAAGAATGTTTACCTTTATCTGTATATCGTGAAAGAAAAAAACAGTAATTTTAACTGATGAAAAAGCAGCAGCAATTTGGACTCCAGGTAGAATGCTAAAGTTCCTGCAATAGGTGATGAGAATCAAGGACTATACAGGTTGTCTTGAACTATGAAACCAGAATTGCTAACTATCAGAACAAGATAAAGTTCTGAATTACTATCTGCTGAGTTTTAACCAAGTTCTAGCAATGCACAGCATACACTGAAGTATCCTGTTTAGATGACAGTCCTGAGAAATGCAGTTTGCATTTTGATTTATGATCATAATTATTTTCAGTTGGCTAAGAAAACCTGCATGAAAGGATATGGCATACAAAGGGAGAAGAAGGGATAGGGGCCTCCCAGCAGAACAGTAGTTCTTTTGCAGCTACTGAGAATAAATCAAACTAAAATATGAGCTCAAGTAACTCTTAACAGAATTGGGATAAGCACAGTTATTTACAGGAGTACGTGCAAAACCTCCTGCCACATCTAGAGTAATGAACATAATTCTCAGATCTGTTTTTTTGTTGGCATGAAATGTAAGCCACTAATTTTGTGCATTATTAGGAGGACGCACTTCTGATGTACATTACCAGCTCTGTAAGAACAGAAGAAATTAAACAAAATTCATGCCAGCCAGCTAAGCTGAATAAACAACTGTTTTGAAACTTGGATTCATCAGTAAGAAGACTGTGGTGGTAAGCCATACTTAGCCACTTAGCTTTCTAAAATATACCTGAGTACAGGATAACATTTTTAATACCAGTAAATAATATGGGACAGATTCTATATTTAAAGTAATTACAAAGGACCAATGAACAAAGCTGCAAAGTATGTTATTCTTTGCATTGTATGCCTTCTAAACAAAGCTTAACTTTGAAATTTCCAGCACTCTATCAAACTGACCTTTAGTATTCCTAGAATTATCGCTTTATAATGAAGAACTTGTCACAAAAAAGGAAAATTAAGTCTTGTTCAATGGCACCTGCAAAAGATGATTTGCCCTTTTGTGAAATTCTACACAACTGCAGCACAGCCTCCCTGACTGACCTTTTTGCAGCATAACCAATATGTGACTTCTCTGACATTTAAAAAATCAAGGCAGCAACAGAAACAGACTGTCTAAACTATACCTCCAACTGAAAGCTTTTAACATGTAAAATGTTAAATAACAATTAAGTCAGAAATTAGAAGTGTGTATGAAAATGAGACTAACTCTATTGCAGGGCCTAAAAGTTGAATAGAATCTTCTGTTCTTTGTCATCAACCCTTACTGTTTTAAACTGGAAAAGCAACCATCAGATGCAGTATTTAAAAGGAAGTTTAAAAAAGATCAGTTCCTCACAGAATGCAGGGCATGCTCGTTGGGTTGGGAAGACAAAGAGAAGTAGGTTTGTGTACCACTGAAAAATGAGGAGGTTCAAGTAACTGATTCATTTAAGAAAGAGGATGTCTAAAAGGAATTTTAGAAGTACTCTTTCTGACTTAAACACCCTATTTCTCTAAGTGTACAACGCTCAGGCAGTTCACAGCATCTATAAATGAAGCAAACTCAAAGCTTACATTACTTACTTTTCTTCCACTTGGAACAGATACATGAAATCCTCACTGATATGCTCAGTTATCACAGAAGCGTTGTCAGGAACGAACATGTGACAACGCTTCTGTGATAACTAAGCATATCAGTGAGGATTTCATGTATCTGTTCCAAGTGGAAGAAAAGGAATGAACATGTGACGTGCTCTCAAACTCACCATCTATTTATTTGCTGAGAACATTATATATCCCTCATGCATGCCATGAATCTACACAACCTCCTATCCAGTCCCAAATAGCAACATAAAGAATGGGCCCTATGGCTGCTGGCAACTTTAAGCGAGGACACAGAGCAATTCAAACCTTAGGTGGTTATTCCATCAGGTTTTGTTTTGTAATTAAATGCAACATTCCATGATTACCATGTGAGGATACAAAGCAACAATCAGAAAAGACAGCTACTGTACCTAGTTTGCTTAGAGAATTTTATTGGAATCCATTACGACTTTTAATTAAGAATATTCTCCTTCTCACCTGCTACAGTTTCACGCAAGTAAATTAACAACTGGGTTGGTTTCCTCTCCTGCTTTTTGAATTGCGAGCATCCTGTTATTTCAGCTTTGAGCCAATTCTGTAATCCAGAATATTCAATCTTGCTGACATAAGTTAAAAGTGCACAATATTTATTGCACAATTTATTTAAATGCTTAGAAATATGATACAATTTAATGACATTAGAATACTAATTCGAATTTGTTAAAAATGTGCAGCTGCCAGTACAAAGAGTCTTGCTCTGTTAAAACAATAGCTCTTAAATAAATACCTAAAGGATAAAAAAAAATGTTTGTGGCACTTCAGTAATCAGATCATCTTCTTTTATTGCATATTACAATGCTTAGATCAATACACGCTCATCACCAGCAACAGATATGCTCACAATCCTATCACACTTGAGGGCAAATCACCTCACGCTTTCATGAACAGGCCATGTTAGGGTGTCAGTCGTTTGGGATCCCGTGGGAACATGGAGGTCTGGCG